ACTATATCTCGTAAATGATTATTATAGTGTCGTCGTGTTAACGCGTGTGATGCACACAGTATAATCATCGTACTATCGTAGTTTTAATTTGTATACTAATATAGAGTGATTACTGATTAGTATTGAATTCGATAAGTGACAACAGTTTGTAATGGGACATTAATTTCAAGTCGTATACTGAACTGTATATAAGTATAGAGCGACCACACGTGTATATTGGGTAGTAGGGGACCAACGTAGTGGTGGCAGATGATAAAAGCCCATCGTCGTCATCGTCATGCGTTTAACCAACGAATAATTGTACATATAATTATGTTACAGTAGAGTACTATAGTAGTATACTTGTATATTACATACTATAAATATATATAACGATATAGAGTTATTATATTAGTTTTTTTTAATAATATCGTTCAACATGCGCGCAGGTCCCAATATTGTTATCTGTCTGTGTATGTGAGTGTGTCGTCAGTGTGTAGCCGTACATAACGTATAATAGTATTCGTCGGTGAGGTAACATTTTCGCGTACGTTTTTCGCTCTATCGTTGGGAAAATGTGTCGAAATATATATCAACGACAATAACACCTTTGTGTAAGGCCTGCGTGTGGTATAGCATACTTTTATCGTCTGTTTACTTCGGTCTTATTATAATTATTATTATTCCGTCCATTGATGCGCATTTATGCCGTTTGGCTTGGGCAACTACTTAAAATATACGAGTCAAGAAATCATATAGTCAACTTTTGGGAAAAAAATTCCTGTCACTCAGCCAAAATAAGTCATCGTTGATATTATTAGAGTACACATCATATTCTCTCGACGCAGTGTGATCAAAGTTCAGTAAAAAACACATATTATCTCGACGAACGCTCAATAGTCCACACACCATACACATCCTCATCACACGCTCACGTTCGATAATATATTTAATTGATGCTGTCGTTATCAATATTAAGATAAGCGAAATGGTTTCTATTCTTAAAATCGGCCAAAAGGCCGTTCGCAGTTGTAACACACCGTAGTCTTATACTTACGCTCGTATAATAATAATTTTCTTAAGAAGTTATGTTGTTTGTCATGTCGTCGTCGTCATCGTCTAAGAAGAACAAGGCTGATATTTTAGAAAACTGCTGCTCCGAGCTTGAGTTCGATATGTGGGATGGACAATTCGAATTTGTGGGTARCGCCTATGACGCGGGTCCCGCCGGAGTCGATGTGTTGAAGTTACCTATAATTTCACGAAACTCGCATGTTTTTGGCGTGCAAAAAGTAATTTCGTTTCATCGTTCGTTTATGACTATTTTAAAATTTTTTTTCTATAAGTACCTACCTACACTTATAATATTCACTCGCATGCAATGTTTGCGTATATATTATAGGTATTTACATAATATATTTTTTGTATATTGTCACACCGATGCGCCTTTGTTCTATCTGTATAATATATTAAAAGTACTCACGTGTTGTTTTCAAAATAATTACTACAACAATTACATTAACTGGTGGCGTGTAAATTATAATGTGTTTGTATGTGTCTATGCAGGTACAAGTGTTGCAAAAACAAATGAATTCTCTGACCGACAATCAACACCTGACGGACGAACGGTACGCGCGTACCAAGGAGGAGAACGCCGCTCTCCAAGCCCGCGTCCATATGCTAGAAGAGCAGCTTCGTGACACCGAACTTAGGTGCGAGGAGCGACTTGCGTCCGAAGAACGCAGACACAGAGAACTCGTCACCCGAGTTGATAGAGAAAAACAATTGCATATCGATAATTGTGCCATAAGGTAAATTTTAAATAAAAATATAGTATGTAATTAGCTAGTTACTTATACTTATATGGGCYTAAATATTWTATTTAAAACTGTAAACTTATATTATAATATTATGATGCATATTGGCGTCATCGAATTCATATATTTTTCTCGCCGTGTTAGTATCACTGATATCCATCAAGCGTTCCATAAATCATGTCGTGTTTGTTATGTAACTAAATTATTCTAAAGATATATTTTATAGTGTCTCGTTCCATTAAATCAATTAATAGTTATGAATTATTATCCTATCATTATAGGTATAATATATTGTCGTATAAAAATCACTATATACTTTTAAAAATTATTAGTTATTTTTGATTGATGTAAAACAATTAATAACGTYACTTTAAATTATAACCACACATATTTAATTATACCGATACCACAAGAAGAAGAAGAAGATATTTAATTACATTATTTAATCTGTATAATATAGATGCCACTATTTGATGATGTATCATTATTGTACATAATATAAAATAATTTAATTTATATAATGCAAATATGGTATTATTAGAATAATTATATTGTAAATCGTGATAGTGTGAACGAATAACGATGAATTGATGTCGCTTTGCTGTGGTAAGCAAATKACGTTACATAAAAATACATGATATGAATAATGTTTTAGTTACAAGCGTTGTTTCCCAATTTAATATCATTGCTATTTTGTTCAAATAATATAAAATTAGTAAACGGTAGTCGTATAAATGAAATATTTTTAAAGCTTTATTTAAAAAAAATATATTAACGCTTTATAAGTTTTTTTATATACCTAAGTATATTTATTTATTGTACAATATGAAATATTATGACGGATATGAGTATTTTTTTAAAACTCTTTTTGCAATTAAGTATGAAAAAGCTTGTTGTAATATAGGTATACTAATAAGATTTTATTGTTATTAACTTATAAATTACACTAGCCCAATATTGTATTAATGTTTATAGACTTCAAAGTATTGAGTCTGCTAATGAAAATTTACGATTGGAGGCAGAAAAATGCAAGTCCGCGTTAGAGATGATGCGAACCGAAAAGATTTCGTTGGAACAACGTGTGAGTGATCTCAACGTGGGTGCTCAGTCGTTCAAAGATGAAATACGTCTGCTGGAGGCAGAGATCAGAAAGTTTAAACAGAAAGAAAGGGACAACGAAGAGGTCAGTTTAATAGAACATAAAACAGTCGCCTCTGCTTATAATAATTGAAACAATAATAACAGCAACGTTGTATATTGATATGATCGTTGTTTTTACGCTGTCCGGTTGTTGTTTATATATATGTATGTATATATATATATTTATAGATCATCGAGGGTCTGACCAAAGAGTTGGAAATATCTCGACTTGAAAAGGAAGCCATGATCGCCAAATTAAATTCACCTTCGCCGTACGTTACTGAGCTTACGGCCCAGTTGGAGTTGCTTAAACATCAGAATCGATGTAAGTGTAATCAATAAAGCAGTAATTTTCAATCGGTGTTTTTGAAAGTTTTTACTATAATAATTATAATTAATAAATATAAATTACCTAATGTATAATAAAGTACAAGTTTGTTCTAAAAAAATTAAATCAAAGAAAAAAGGTTGTTCGATAAAAGGACATGTGTCATTGCAATTTTGTAAAGTTGGCCGTGTTAAAAAAAGGTGAAAACCCTCTTTTGTAAAGATTATGTTTTGTAGTATACTATATAGTCATGGTGATTTTCTTATCGCAAAACACTCGATGTACTCTAACCTAGCATACACCCTATTTCATTTAAAGTGAGATAATTGTATCTGTTTTTTTATTATTATGATTTTTTTTTTTGCAGCATTGAAAGACTCCTACGACGAGCTACAAGCTTCCTCCATAGCCAAAGGCATCGAGAGAGGTAGGCTGTTGTTGACAGAGTCACCCAGCCTCGCTTCCGAACTTGACGGATTGACTCATGATGACGTAAGTGCGATGTTATATACGACTAATGGTTACTCATATTTGGATTTTTTTTTWAACGCGTCGTTCGTCTAAATGTCTAATAATCTCGCATACCCGTGCTTATAAATAATAAACCGTTTTTAAACTGTTAGAAAAAACAAAAACAATACCTGAATAACATTTCTAACCCAAATTATGTCAATGAAATTTGTCATATGTAATTAGAAGTAGTACACATAATAGAGCAATAATATGAGCCAATARTATCACGCGCGTGCGAAATGCAAATGATAATAATATATATGATATATCTTATAATATAATAATATGTAGAATTTTGATATAACAACACACTTGAAGTACTTATATAATTGTTTTTTTTTTTTTGCTCCTTTTCACAGCACAGTCCCTCGTCTTTGCAATTAAACAAGGTAATTTTAATTTGGTTACTAAAATATGTTATGCATTTATTTTTTATCAAATTAACAGTGTTTGGCTTTTTTCTTAATTTTTTTTTTCTAACCGCACCCGGTAATTACGCCTCAAAATGTTGATATTGATTAATAAAATAATTTTTTTCGTATTCCGAGAGTTTAACAATAGTAGTTGAAAACGATTCAATCGAGTCGCGGTCGTTAACTCTCAATGTCATTGGTGTCGTCTCATCGTCGAGTATACCTAGCTGTAGCTCTACGGGAACACCCGAACACAAACAACAATAATATTGTCATGGTGTTTTCTTACACTTAKTTTGATGTGCCTTCGAGTACCTTGAATGAATGATTTAAACATTTTTATTGTGTTGACGCAAATTCATAGGAATGCCGATCAACATAATATACACTATATACACTTTCATTCAAAAGCGATAAGAATTTGAAAAAAAAAATCATTTACCTTTTTGCATGGAATTAATAAAACACTTGATATTTTATTATATTTCATGTGTGCTGTTGCATGCTTACTAAAATTAATAAATAACAATTTACGATTTTTTTTTGTTGATATTTTTGGTTTAGGCTTTATTAATAAAATATTATTTGTTTGACAAATTTATAAATTAAAGTTTATTTACTATTTTTAATGTTTTTTGGTGCAGCGTTGATACAAAATTAAATATTCTATTGTGAAAACATTAAATAGGTATATTGGTATATATATATATATATATATATAAACGTATAAAAGTAATCAATTTTAACTTGTGTTTAATACATTTTAACTAGATACATATAATGTTAAATTTACTACATTGTACCCTTATGTCCCATCATTATATTATAAAATTACAAAATGTATTGGTAACTTCCAATATAAATTCATAAATATCAAAAAGAATTAATAATATAATTGTATAAATAAAACTAATTAGAAATTCTTTGATTTCTTMATTAGAATATCTTTACTATAAAATCTTATAAAATAYATTTTAATCATTATGGGTAGTAAATTGAACACAACAATTGATTTTATTTTTAAACTTTTTGCTGTTGACTAATCTTTTATTTCAGTGTTTATTAAATATTTTCTTTATTCATATAATGTGAAGATGCTTAAAATTGTTTGAATATTAAATAGCAACAATAATAACTGTCTTGGCTGCACGTTGTAMATTTTTATTTTCTTAATTAAATAATGTTATAACTAATATGGGTTATTTTATTGATGATTTTAATTATTTTCAGATGAAAACCGCTTTGAAAGATCAACAGGAAGTGAACGATCAGTTACGGGCTTACATTGATAATATTCTCCTAAACATTGTTGAAAACCATCCAGAATTGTTGGAAGTCAAACAAAATTTATGAAATATTGTTATAGTTTTATTATAATAACAGATATTCACACATACACACAATGTTCCTAATACTATTGATTGGTGAAGTTGGAGACCAGYGTCTTTCAATAGACATGTATATCTGAATTATTGTTTTTGTCATCTAACTTACATATTATTATGTTGCCACCTAATTAAATGTCTACCATGTTTTTCCCACTTCATATTTCCAACAAATGTATGATATATGTGTGTTATATTATATATAAATTGTTGTGTATATAAACAGTTAAATTTTTTTTTAAAAAGCAAAATAAAAACAAGAAAAATATAAATTTTATCATATATGTTTAAGAAATATTGGATAACATTTTTTGTTTTTTAAATTATGTTTAATTGTATCCGTCCAGTTATATATTATTACAATTTATTAATTATATTTGCATAMAATTAATGTTGTTTAATTTTTTGCATCTATTTGTATTGTAATTATTTTTAATTTTTGAAAGAAAGTATTTAATATTAGATAGTACGCCAATATGTTATAATATAATTATTGTTACTTTATATAATATATTGGAGTGCTAATTAAGTTTTATAACTGTTATCTGTTCCAAAGAGACTGTGATGTGGTAACAATATTTAGCCAGTTATTTTTTATAATACTTGAGTCTTGTGCCAGTTCACAATATAAAATATAACAGTATTTTTTTTAGCAAAGAAAAAAYTTTGTTTTATTTATCCTAAATAATCCAAAATATGAACATTCAAAAATCATTTTATCATACATTTTTATGATATAAGTTTACTTGATGTGTATCCTTTAGCGTAATAATTAAATTAATTGTTGTTTTGCATATTTTTATGATGAACTGCTAGTTTACATTTTTGTTGTTTCTATCTTTGGAAAATAACAATTCTTTTGCATCCTATTTTYCTTTAATACATGCTATACATTGAGTTTTTTTTTATATTTTATATTTAATTATATCAAAGTATTTATAAAAAGCATTATTCTAATTTTTTTTTATCTGAAGTAGGACATTTGAAGATAAAGTGTTGCTCCAAAAACACAGTAAATGAATTTAATTTGAATTTAATTTGAATTATTTGTGAAAATTCAGCATTGCAAGTACTTCAAACTTTAAATTGCTTACATTTTTTCTTTCAAATCATTAGAACTGACAATGGAAATCAGTTTAGTAAATTTAAATACATAAAATATGGTTATATATTTAATTTATGTATAAATTTAATTTATATATAAATTTATTTTATACCTATATAATATTATATAATATAAATTATATACAAAAAAAAGTTATATACAAAATAAGGAAGCCAGCGGCCGGCACGCAGCGCACATGGCCATGCTAAGGCGTTCCAAGGTCAGTTTGTCGTCGTCGTCGAAATATTATTTTCAATAATATTTGAGCAAGCGTTCAGCTTATAGTATTTAGAGATGTAARAATCATAGATAATATTTGTTTTTTCTTTGTTTTTTTGTATATTACTTATTTTGTTACATTAACCTTTGGTATATTATTTACAAATTTGATTGTATATCAAACAAATATTATCTATGATTCTTATCTCTCTAAATACTATAAGCTGAACGCTTGCTCAAATATTATTGAAAATAATATTTCGACGTGGTTTTTATATTTTTTATATGTCTATTTTTGTATTGACAACATTCAACTTCAGTACTTTTGACTAATGGCCTAAAAGCATTTGAATAGGCAGTGTGAATTCAACATAATCATTAAGAATTAAGTTATATTTATTTAAGGTTTTATACTTAGTTTTCAATGAATTTTTTTTTTTACTTGTTGAACATTGAATTTCATGTTTTAAATTTGTCACATGTGTATGCTATTTTTATTCTATTTCATTTTTAAACAAATTTATAGGATTATGAAAAAACAAAAATAAAATAGTCTTTGATTTAAAATTCTTTTAATATTATATGAAGTGTTTAATCTTGTTTTTAAAATTACATAAGTCTTTGATTTATCTTTATGGCAGTGTCACATAACTACTGGTGGATTATATAAATTTTATCGATTCATAATTGTCAAACCCACTTTATTATTTCAGATTATTTATTAAATAATAATTCCATTGTATTATCAAGAACAGAATTATTATAAGCACATTTTTTGAAGTAAAAATAAAATATATTAGTGTTTTTTTCCATGCATGCTTATTTATTCAAATAATAACAATATTATATACATGAGATCAGTAAATATTTTTATTTCTTAAACATTCAAATCGACATCAGTATAACACCAATCATGACAGACAGTGTACCACATGCCCATAGAATTGAGCAGCTCTCAGCAAACAATAGTACACCAGTTAGAGCCTGAAATATAATATATAATGGTATAAATTAAGGGCATAACGTAAATATAAAAATTTTAATCTACTAATTTTTTTTTTTTTTAATTTGCATTTTATTAAAAAATAATTACAGCAAAGCGATTACAAAATAATTATGTATCAATACAAAAAAATTTACAGACAATTTAATTAAATATTAGCTTTAAATAAGAAAGCCAGCAGTATGAATGAATTGGATAAGAGAACGGATGATAGGGATGAAACGGGAGTTGAGCAGAAGATTTGAATCGGGAGAAATATAGCCTAAAGAAGAAAGAAAAGAGAAAAGGAGTTGTCTACTAGTTATGAGAGAAGGGCAATTGAAAAGGATGTGATCAAAATCGCATATCGATTCGTTGTGATGCAGTGTAAAAAGAGGGGAAGAGTTTAGATTAAGTTTAGAAGAATGGTGAGGAAGTAAGCTATGACCAATGCAAAGACGAGTGAAGGATACGATTAGGTGCCTAGAAATCTTGAGGTTTTTAAACCAAGGATGTTTGGGAATAGAGGAAACTATGTGTCTATGCCATGCAACATAGTTAGGTGGTAGAGAGTCCCATTTAGTTTGCCAGGCATTGCGCAATAGTTTGCGGTGAATCGGAAGAAAATCTGAAGCAGGTGTTTTAAAAAGAGAAAAATAGATGAGGGATTTTGTTGAAAAAGCTAGGTGGTCGGCTCGCTCATTACCGGCTATATCGACATAACTAGGGATCCTGAAAAACTTAACTGTTTTATCAGCAAGACTAAGACGATATACTAAGGATTTGATGACAAGAACAAATCTACTAATTATTGTTTATTAATTAATTAAATATTGGATTTGAGAGATTAAAAACAATTATAGCAAAGGACATTTACAATTATTAGAAAAATAGTATTAGATTAAAACAATATTTGAACTGTATTATGTTTCTAAAGTCAACAAAGAGATAATAATATAATAATATTTAGTAATGTATATCTACAGTACAATCGTAGAAATTATTTTATGAAGTGGATAATTTCATTATGCTTGAGGTTAGTAGCATGGTATTGAACTGTTTCACATATTAAGTAACGGATTTTCTTTGATTTAAAGAATTTATAAAATTGTATGGCATATGCACAATAATTTCATAAGTGAATAGTATGATATAGACTAGACAAAAAGTTTGGGCATAGGGTACTTGACATGTTGACTTCCCAACCAATTTCACTGATCTTACAAACACTTTGAGTATCTTAATGTACTCAGAAGTTTTATAAAACTGAGCTAAGTATCATGATACTCAAATTGTTATAAGAGTTTCAGGCATAATAAATTCCTTAGATAAAAATGAGTTAATATCCTTGACGATTTTTGAGTATCATAATATATAATTATACTCAAGACAAAATTAGCAAGTATAAGTAAAATATAAAGGGAAATAGATAATTGCAAGTTTGGCGTATATCACAAGACAGTCAACGTGTTAAGGAGCCAACTGTTACTCTGTTAGCAGTAGTGAACTTGATTTATTTTTTATGCCGATAAATATTAATTATTATTATAAATATTTAGGTTTCTTCTTTAAGATATAAATAAAGATTTTCTTTTTAATAATACTGTAAAAAATAATTTATTGATTTAATGGTAAGCATTTAAAGAACAAATCATTTTCATTTTCAATGTAATATTTAAAACAAATTAGTTATTATAAGTTTTTATAGTTTCAAAAACATAAAATAGTTATGAAATGTTATACCTATACTGTAGATATAATTATTCACAGACAAAATATTATGTCTTATCTAACAAATAAAAACAAAAAATGAATTACTGAAAGCTTTGAGTGGCTATTTCACAGATTTAATAGATGTATTATGATATTAAAGACAGATAGGGAAGTCACACAACTTTGCAAATGGCTTGTCACTCACGGTGAAAATGTAATTGGACGCGATGCCGATGCCAGTAGATATCAATGTGGAACCGAATTGCAGGGATCTAGTATACATAAGCCAAACACCAATGTTGGCCAGAACGACCATTACCAACATGATGAATCTGATCAAATTTGTGAACAGAGCCTGTGAGGGAAAAACAAATATTAACAGATCATTAGGACTTAGGAAGTGCTACTTACAATGTCATTACTGTCATCATTGACTCTTTAGTACTCGTACGTGTAGATTTGTATATAGATGTTTAATACAATAATATAGACTAAACAATTAAATACAACCAATTTTACCTGATCGTTCAAGCCGAATAACTCGTTGACACTCATTCCAATTTTGCCAAACAAGCCGGCCGATGAACCGCAGACTCCAGCAGATGCGGCGCACAGGGCATTCTTAAGCCGTCGGTCCATGGATCAAATTGTTGGTGGTGGAACCGTGGAGGTTTATAAAAATCTATAAAGATTTATTTTGATCTCAGGAAAGTGAACATACTAAAAAAGCTCTGAGCTGTGGTCAGTTAGTAAGTAGTCTGATTTTACCTTCGACACATTACAACCATGAGTAAATACCAAATGACGACCTTAACGTCCTTAAGTGATTGACGGTCTATTCCTCAGTCCTCTATCGTTAATGCGAAATGCAAATATTCAAATATTGTATGAATTAAGTCATGATAAGTACCTATTATACCACTGATAACAAATTGATTAGGTATAAGCACAATTGAATAGATAATGTCTGATAATAGAAGAAATCTGTTATTATCTATGCAAAATTGTAACCAATAACCAAGGTCGGGCAAGGTGTATTGATATCAGTACACCAATCTCCATAATCATTTTACACTTTTCAAGTGGAGTTTACCAAGTTTTGAAGTTTACCAAATTAATGTAATCTTATGCTTAAATATTTCTGTATAAGTAATGCAGTTAAAACTAATTTATGGGATCTTATTAAGGGGTGGCTGCTTAAAAATTTAAATAATATGATAAATGATAAGATACTATTTTGGAGGGCTATAATATTTTAAAATTTGTTTGGACGTAAAACTTGAGAACATTTTTTCCGAATAATATTTATCTGGAACTATTTGGTTTGAGCTGAAATTCGAAACCTTTTATTATTTATATAAACAATTTAATATTTAGGACAATATGATAATCGCCAGCTATTTATAACTATTAAGCATCTCAAACAACGACTCAAACGCATATGAATCTTTATGAATCTTAATAATACTAAGATAGATCCCATAAATTAGTTTTAATTGCATTACTTATACAGAAATATTTAAGCATAAGATTACATTCATTTGGTAAAATGTATTCTACATAGATATTTTAAACCCAATAAGTAACAGTCATAAATTGACAAAGCAAATTTTATTTATGAATCAATTATATTTGTTGTACCTATACCTACGAGATGTAGGTTAAAATACCTCTTATTTCTTTAATGTTATGTATAATAATTTCATTTTGATAAACTCAAGGAATGTAGTTACCTATGTTGAAAAATCTAAATTTAAAATTTGTCTTAATTTGTACTGATTAAATAAAGCACTTGATCATTTTTTTTTTTTTTTTTAATTGTTATACTTTATTAGAAATTATATCCTTTGGTATACTGGTATTTGTATTAAAATACATTTGTTGACTCACACATTTATCTTTGAAGCAGTACCTATCTTCAAGAACACAGGCAAAGTAATTGATGACAATTTTTCTTGCATAAACCATACATAAAAACTAATCTCCATTCTCCACCCAAAACCTGTATAAAATAATAATTGTTTTTAAAGTTTACATGTTTAAACAATTTATTATAACATCATTCTTCAATTGCTTATCAATATACTATAAAACATAAACATTCACCTATTAGATTAGGATGGCGGCCATTTTACTGGCTACAATAATAATACCGAAGTCGGCTATTTAGTATTTCTATCATAGACATTAATTGTGGTTCACGCCGTATACCGCGTATCACCTACCAACCTTGTGCAACTTATATCCACTTAATAACCAGGTAACAACCAAATTTTAGTTGAACCAACAGAATATTCAACATTGGTAAATTTATTTTACTGGTTTAATAATAATTTAACTAATAACTAGGCAGTTTTTTGTTCAGGTAGTTTTTTGTTCAGGCAGTAGAAACTAACTGTGTAAACGGGGCCTAGATATTTTTAACTATTGCCGTGTTAACTTAACATCATCTTGAGTAGCGCCGGATTTTAGACATTTTGTGCTCCGGTGCAAAAAGAAATTGGACCCCGTAAAAGGCCTACTATAGTTGGAAATATAGAATATTCTCAAAACACAGAAAAAGAATATGTTTTACGGTAATCTATGATTTTTTTTTAAAAATATCATTCAATAATTTTGTAAGTCCATCTGCTTCTCCGCATATAGATACAATTATTTAGTGTACTTCTTCCACTTGAGTCCTGCATCCTGCTAATCATATAAGTTGATTATTTCATGTCCTTTTGGATCGTATCAATATCAATATCCAANATTTTAATCATTATGGGTAGTAAATTGAACACAACAATTGATTTTATTTTTAAACTTTTTGCTGTTGACTAATCTTTTATTTCAGTGTTTATTAAATATTTTCTTTATTCATATAATGTGAAGATGCTTAAAATTGTTTGAATATTAAATAGCAACAATAATAACTGTCTTGGCTGCACGTTGTAMATTTTTATTTTCTTAATTAAATAATGTTATAACTAATATGGGTTATTTTATTGATGATTTTAATTATTTTCAGATGAAAACCGCTTTGAAAGATCAACAGGAAGTGAACGATCAGTTACGGGCTTACATTGATAATATTCTCCTAAACATTGTTGAAAACCATCCAGAATTGTTGGAAGTCAAACAAAATTTATGAAATATTGTTATAGTTTTATTATAATAACAGATATTCACACATACACACAATGTTCCTAATACTATTGATTGGTGAAGTTGGAGACCAGYGTCTTTCAATAGACATGTATATCTGAATTATTGTTTTTGTCATCTAACTTACATATTATTATGTTGCCACCTAATTAAATGTCTACCATGTTTTTCCCACTTCATATTTCCAACAAATGTATGATATATGTGTGTTATATTATATATAAATTGTTGTGTATATAAACAGTTAAATTTTTTTTTAAAAAGCAAAATAAAAACAAGAAAAATATAAATTTTATCATATATGTTTAAGAAATATTGGATAACATTTTTTGTTTTTTAAATTATGTTTAATTGTATCCGTCCAGTTATATATTATTACAATTTATTAATTATATTTGCATAMAATTAATGTTGTTTAATTTTTTGCATCTATTTGTATTGTAATTATTTTTAATTTTTGAAAGAAAGTATTTAATATTAGATAGTACGCCAATATGTTATAATATAATTATTGTTACTTTATATAATATATTGGAGTGCTAATTAAGTTTTATAACTGTTATCTGTTCCAAAGAGACTGTGATGTGGTAACAATATTTAGCCAGTTATTTTTTATAATACTTGAGTCTTGTGCCAGTTCACAATATAAAATATAACAGTATTTTTTTTAGCAAAGAAAAAAYTTTGTTTTATTTATCCTAAATAATCCAAAATATGAACATTCAAAAATCATTTTATCATACATTTTTATGATATAAGTTTACTTGATGTGTATCCTTTAGCGTAATAATTAAATTAATTGTTGTTTTGCATATTTTTATGATGAACTGCTAGTTTACATTTTTGTTGTTTCTATCTTTGGAAAATAACAATTCTTTTGCATCCTATTTTYCTTTAATACATGCTATACATTGAGTTTTTTTTTATATTTTATATTTAATTATATCAAAGTATTTATAAAAAGCATTATTCTAATTTTTTTTTATCTGAAGTAGGACATTTGAAGATAAAGTGTTGCTCCAAAAACACAGTAAATGAATTTAATTTGAATTATTTGTGAAAATTCAGCATTGTAAGTACTTCAAACTTTAAATTGCTTACATTTTTTCTTTCAAATCATTAGAACTGACAATGGAAATCAGTTTAGTAAATTTAAATACATAAAATATGGTTATATATTTAATTTATGTATAAATTTAATTTATATATAAATTTATTTTATACCTATATAATATTATATAATATAAATTATATACAAAAAAAAGTTATATACAAAATAAGGAAGCCAGCGGCCGGCACGCAGCGCACATGGCCATGCTAAGGCGTTCCAAGGTCAGTTTGTCGTCGTCGTCGAAATATTATTTTCAATAATATTTGAGCAAGCGTTCAGCTTATAGTATTTAGAGATGTAARAATCATAGATAATATTTGTTTTTTCTTTGTTTTTTTGTATATTACTTATTTTGTTACATTAACCTTTGGTATATTATTTACAAATTTGATTGTATATCAAACAAATATTATCTATGATTCTTATCTCTCTAAATACTATAAGCTGAACGCTTGCTCAAATATTATTGAAAATAATATTTCGACGTGGTTTTTATATTTTTTATATGTCTATTTTTGTATTGACAACATTCAACTTCAGTACTTTTGACTAATGGCCTAAAAGCATTTGAATAGGCAGTGTGAATTCAACATAATCATTAAGAATTAAGTTATATTTATTTAAGGTTTTATACTTAGTTTTCAATGAATTTTTTTTTTTACTTGTTGAACATTGAATTTCATGTTTTAAATTTGTCACATGTGTATGCTATTTTTATTCTATTTCATTTTTAAACAAATTTATAGGATTATGAAAAAACAAAAATAAAATAGTCTTTGATTTAAAATTCTTTTAATATTATATGAAGTGTTTAATCTTGTTTTTAAAATTACATAAGTCTTTGATTTATCTTTATGGCAGTGTCACATAACTACTGGTGGATTATATAAATTTTATCGATTCATAATTGTCAAACCCACTTTATTATTTCAGATTATTTATTAAATAATAATTCCATTGTATTATCAAGAACAGAATTATTATAAGCACATTTTTTGAAGTAAAAATAAAATATATTAGTGTTTTTTTCCATGCATGCTTATTTATTCAAATAATAACAATATTATATACATGAGATCAGTAAATATTTTTATTTCTTAAACATTCAAATCGACATCAGTATAACACCAATCATGACAGACAGTGTACCACATGCCCATAGAATTGAGCAGCTCTCAGCAAACAATAGTACACCAGTTAGAGCCTGAAATATAATATATAATGGTATAAATTAAGGGCATAACGTAAATATAAAAATTTTAATCTACTAATTTTTTTTTTTTTTAATTTGCATTTTATTAAAAAATAATTATAGCAAAGCGATTACAAAATAATTATGTATCAATACAAAAAAATTTACAGACAATTTAATTAAATATTAGCTTTAAATAAGAAAGCCAGCAGTATGAATGAATTGGATAAGAGAACGGATGATAGGGATGAAACGGGAGTTGAGCAGAAGATTTRAATCGGGAGAAATATAGCCTAAAGAAGAAAGAAAAGAGAAAAGGAGTTGTCTACTAGTTATGAGAGAAGGGCAATTGAAAAGGATGTGATCAAAATCGCATATCGATTCGTTGTGATGCAGTGTAAAAAGAGGGGAAGAGTTTAGATTAAGTTTAGAAGAATGGTGAGGAAGTAAGCTATGACCAATGCAAAGACGAGTGAAGG